AGATAGATAGATAGATAGATAGATAGATAGATAGATAGATAGATAGATAGATAGATAGATAGATAGATAGATAGATAGATAGATAGATAGAGTTACAAATAACAATGTTAGAAGACAAATATTTAAGTTTAGTTTAAAAGATATACATTTTCCTATGGATGAATAAACTATTTGCAAAAGCTCAAATGAAGCTATTAAAATTTTTGAATGAGAAAGGTTTTTTTTTTTCACAGCAACTTTAAAATTGTACAAAAACGTAACTCCCGGTTACAAGTTAAAGCTCTAAGCCAATCACAGGTGACCAATGACCAGCTTGCTATTTTTATTTTTATTTTTTTGCCAGTCCTGGGGCTTGAACTCAGGGCCTAGGCACTGTCCCTAAGCTTCTTTTGCTCAAGACTAGCAGTTGAGCCACAACATAACTTCCGGTTTCACATGCATGCTAGGCAAGCACTATAGCACTAAGCCACATTCCCAGCCCCAGCTTACTATTCTTCAACCAATTAAAACGATGCAATAGTAACCTGTTGTTGAAAAGAACAACGGAGTATGAGAACTACTATTTTTGTCAATCTAAATCTTTTCTTTTTCTTATGCTGTACTAAGACTTGAACTCAAAGACCTTTAGCTTTTCCATTCAAAGCTAGCACTCTACAACTCAGGCCGTATCTCCAATTTCGAGTTTTTTGGAGTTAACTGGAGGTAAGAATCTTATGAACTTGACTGTCTAGGCTAGCTTCAAACCACAATCCTAAGATTTCAGTCTCCTAATTGGCTAGGATAATAGACATGAGACACCGGTGCCCTGCTAAAACTATCTTTAAATGCAATCAATTATTTTTCTAAAACTAATTATGTATTTGTACATGGCATTTTCTGGTGCCAATTCAGTTTCTTTTCATTGCTAATAACTTCAAAACTGAGAGTTAACTCAAAATGTTAATCCAGTCTTTTTTATATTAGTTTTATTTTTTTTTTTTTTTGTCAGTCGTGGGGCTTGAACTCTGGGCCTGGGCGCTGTCCCTCAGCTCTTCAGCTCAAGGCGAGCGCTCTACCACTTGAGCTACAGCGCCACTTCCGGTTTTCTGGTCGTTTATTGGAGATAGGAGTCTCATGATTTCTCCTGCCTAGGCTGGCTTTGAACCACGATCCTCAGATCTCAGCCCCTGAGTAGCTAGGATTACAGGCGTGAGCCACCAGCGCCCTGCTTTATATTAGTTTTAAAGGTTGCATGACAATTCAGAATTTAGAGAACATTTACTATTAATAATAATTATAGTTATCTGATAACTACTATATAAAATCAGTCTTTTCTAAAGAGATATGTTATATATGTCCTTAACATGCTCATGACATTTAGCAATGTATTCAAAATATTAAACCTCGTTGGGGGAGCACTGTACTGAGGTTTGTTCGCTAGATAGGAACTCTATCACTAGAGTGAAGGCCCTCAGCCTTATTGTTTTAAATATTGAGATAGGGTCTCACATTTTTCCCAGGATATCTGTAATAAAATCACCCTATTTATGCTTCCCAGTGTAGCTGGGATGACTGAAAGGCTCTACCATGCCAGTTTTTTCTGTTGAGATGATGTCTTAGTAGCTTTTTGATCAGCTGGTCTGAAAGCATAATCATCCCAACCTCAGCCTTCATATCTGGGATAACAAGTAAATGCAGCTTTTGAGAATCTTGCAAACTTTTTATCTAGGTTGGCCTAGAACCAAAATACTCTCATCTCCAACTCCTAATTAGGCCGAATTAGAGAAGTAAACTGCTGGTATCCAGCCCTTACACCAACATTTTAGTGAGTAGGACAGGAGGGGAAAAACTGGGAGAGAGCAAGAAAAGGGTTGTCAACCCTTATGTACTTATGTACAGTTACTTATGTAACTGTAACCACCCTCTATATAGTATCTTTATAACAGAGAGAGAGAGAGAGAGAGAGTGTGTGTGTGTGTGTGTCTTTCTGTCTGTCTGTCTGTCTGTCTGTCTTTCTGTCTGTCTGTCTGTCTGTCTCTGTTGTGGGGCCTGAACGCTGGGCCTGGGCGCTGTCCCTGAGCTCTTCAGCTCAAGGCTAGTGCTCTACCACTTCAGCCACAGTGCTACTTCCGGTTTTCTTTTCCTGCTTATGTGGTGCTGTGGAATCGAACTCAAGGCCTCATGCATGAGGGGCAAGCACTCTACCACTGAGCCAACCTCCCAGCCCTATAACAATTTTTTAAAGCTTTTTGAAAGGCTACATCTGATATGGCACCTAATGTTTTATGTGTTTACATAGTACCCAGAACCTTGAATAATTCTATATTAATAAAACTGTTTTACATATTAGAAAATAAAATCATTTCTATAGAAAGTAACACTTTTTAATTCTTATAAAAACCATTTTGCAAAAAAAAAAAAAAAACATTTTGCAGACTAGGAAGGTGGCTCAGTGGTAGAGTGCTTGTCTCGTATGCATGAGGCCCTGGGTTCGATTTCTCAGCATCACATAAACAGGAAAGGCCAGAAGTGACCCTGTGGCTCAAGACATAGAGTGCTAGCCTTGAGCTGAAGAGCTGAGGGACAGAGCCCAGGCCCAGAGTTCATGCCCCACAACCTACCAAAAAAAAAAAAAAATTGCAATGCATTATTAGCCTTCCATACAAAATAACATTAAATTTTGAAGCGTTATAAGCCAGGTATAGTAGTGTTTATCTGTAATGCAAGCAATAAGGTGGAAAATGAAGAATCTTGAGTTCGAAGGCAGCCTGGGAGACATAAATGCCCAGATAAGCCCGTCTCAAAACACAATGAACCAGGTTCCTTTGACTTCATATTTCATAAAAAGACATTTACTTTATATCATATCTTTGATTTTACACTTTCAAATTTAATCTCTATTCAGCTGTTTGATTTCAATTAAGATGTTATGCTTATTTAACAGACTGTACTTTGCAAATAAAATACATATAACTTTAATCCTGAATGTGTTAGAGATTTGATATAACTATCAGTTTAATTCCGTTAGCTTAAATAGAAACTATTTAAAATAGAAACTATTTAAAATTTATTATGTAAAACTATGTTATTTACTACTGATTCAAGATCTCTGATATATATTTCAGTTTTCTGTGTTTAACACTGAAAATTTTAAGTTTTAACTAAGAAATTTAGAATTACATGGCATTTAGCTTTACCTAAAACTGTACAAATCCAAAGATTTTAAGAATATACTAAGATTTTTTTACATACCTGTCACAGAATCTGATCTGGAATGCTCCTCACTGTCTGAATCCTCCAGCAAATCATCACTTAAATTAAAAGATAAAGTAAAAATAATTATAACTTTAAAAGAAATACATATCAGGCACACAGAATGTAGGCTAACAGTAGAGCAATTAAAAGATCAGTTTCAGGCAAGTTTCACTGGCTCATACCTATAAACCTAGCTACTCAGGAAGTAGAGACCTAGAGGAGCAGGTTTGAAGCCAACCCAGTTAGAAAAATACAGGAGACCCTATCTCTATAGTGGAGGTATGGCTCAAGCAGTAGAACACCAGCCAACCAACCAAGGAAGCACTCAAGAGACCCTGAGTTCAAACCCCAATACTGGCATAAAAAAGAAAAATTTGAGAACAGGGCACTGGTGGCTCATGCCTGTAATCCTACCTACTGAAGAAGCTGAGATCTGAAGATCAATGTTTGAAGCCAGCCTGGGCAGAAAAAGTCCAAGGGACTAATATCCAATTAATCATCAAATATATTTTTATTAAATTTTAATATTATTATTATGAAGGTGACATACAGAGGAGTTACTGTTTCATAAAGCAAGTAATGAGTATATTGCGGGGGGAGGGGGTAGGAGGCAATGTTACCCCTTCCCTTCACTCTCAGTTTTTCCTTCCCATCCTTGCCCCACAAACAAGTTGTATAGTTCATTTTCAACATAGTGTCCAGTGAGTACCACTGCTGCATTTCTTCACCCTTTGTCCCTCCATTTCTGTGTCTTCTCCTAACCTCCCCAAAGACTGAACCACTGAAGTTCTCCATAGTTGTGATACCTGGTTGAATGGTATGACTTATCCAGATCTGTTTTCATGATAGCACTGTGGTTGGGACTGAGTTTTTAAGGTCCTGCAAGCTTTAAAGCTTGAGGAACAGAAGATTTAAGGTAAGAGTTCTAGTCATATTTATACTTATTTACTAATTACAAATGGCCTATTCAAAGGATGAAACAGTACAGAAAATCAATCAATAGTACAGATATGCTAAAGACTCTTAACTTGGATTATGAAATGGTGAAATGAAAACAGCAGATCCTGACTGGGATCCTTCTTAGGAGATATAGACATGTATATACATATATGTCTATATATGTCTTTCTCTCTCTCTCTCTCTCTCTATATATATATATGTATGTATGTCCCTGAGTTCAAGGCTAGCACTCTTGCACTCTACCACCTGAGGCACAGTGCCACTTCTGGCTTTTTCTGTGATTAACTGGAGATAAGAGACTCCCAGACTTTCCTGCCCAGGCTGGCTTTGAACCATGATTCTCAGATCACAGTAGCTAGGACTACAGGCTTCAGCTACCAACTAATTTTTATGATTTTTGTTCTGACAATGCTGTTGTTATGACAATAAGTTTTTCATTTCTTTTTGGCTCTTTGGTTTTTGTCAGCACTTTATAAAGAAAACACACATACAGTATTTGGAAAAAGAGAAAAATGCCCTCGTTTGTAAAGACAAAAAATCTATTTCTTTCACATTCTTTTTGCGGTTTTTCAAAATTTTGATGGTATTACTAATCATTGTAGTTGTTATACGGTTATTCTATATTTTTATGTTCTAGGAGCGTATCAGTGTGTTTGTAGTGGTACAACTTCTCCATGCGCAATGTTTGTAGAAAACGTAATTTCTTTCTTTTGCATGTGCATGAGTGCATGCGAGCATGAGCGTGTACATGCACGAGTGCCTGCTGATCCTGGAGCTTGAGCTCAGGGCATGGGCACTGTCCCTAAACATTTCTGCCCAAGTCTAGGCTCTAGGACTTGAGCTATACATCAACTCCACTTCCAGCCCTTTTTTTGTTTTTTTTTTTTTTAATTTTTCTTGTGTGTGTGATGTTGAAGCTAAGTCTTCCCTGCCCAGGCTACCATGGAACATAATCCTCAAACCACCTGCATGGTTATAATTACAGGTATGAGCCACCAGCACCTGGCTAGAAAACAGAACTTCTATTCTCATGGACCTGACTGCATTGAAATGTATTGTTTTATACTTTTTCATGAATCATCCTCTTTTTCGATGCCAAACCACTGTTGAGAAAGTATCAGTAATATCCATGAATTCCTATCAAATTTATGAGCTTTATCTATACTCAAGACACTAGAGATTCTTTTTAATATTGTTGAGTTTCCTGGTCCTTTTTCTTATTAAGACACTTAAGAAATATTCTTTTGGCTGTGCACTGGTGGCTCACGCCTGTAATCCTAGCTACTCAGGAGGCTGAGATCTGAGGATCGCGGTTCAAAGCCAGCCCGGGCAGGAGAGACCAT